ACTGGAACAACCCAATGTCCATTAACAGATGAATGGATAAACAAAATAAATTACATCCATACAATGAAATCTTACAGCCATGAAAAGCAATGAGATACTGACACATGTTACAATGTGACCAAACTTTGAAAACATGGTTTTCACTTGTACTAAGTGAAAGAAGCCAGACACAAAAGGCCACATATTGTATGACTCAATTTATACAAAATATCCAGAATAAGCAAAGCTATTGAGCCAGAAAATAGATTCGTGTTTGCCAGTGGCTCAGGGTAGGAAGGAGTAATGGGGAGTGACTGCTTAATAGGTTTCCCATTAGGAGTGATGAATAAGTTCTGGAGCTAGACAGTAGAAATGGTTGGGTAACATTATGAATGTACTAAATGCCGTGAAATTACACACTTCAAAATGGTTACCGTGGTAAATGTTACATTACATAGGTTTACCACAATTAAAAAGAACTTGAGACAACAACAAAAATTTTAGAATGTACATAGGGAAATTTAAGAGTGTAGTTGGTACACATTAAAATTGAGGTGCCTAGGAGACATTTAAGCAGAGCTGGATGGAGGGATCTGGAGCTCAAGGGAAAATTCAGGACTGGAGACATAAATCTGGGTGTCATAATAATAGGTGTGGCATTTAAAGACTGAGGAGGACTGGATGAGACCTCCTAGGAGGCACTGTAAAGAGAGAAGAAAAGGACTGAGTCCTGGACCACCTCGGTACTCTGAGGTCAGGAATAGGAGGAGCCAGCAGAGCTGAGTGGGTACACAAAGCAGGAGGAAAGTAAGGAGGGCACAGCATCTCTGGAGCCTGGGGAGAGAATGTTTTGGGGAGGACTGGCAGACACATCAGTCGTTGCTAAGAGATGGAGTAAGATGAAGACCGTTCTGTTTCATGCAACCGAAGTCCCAGTGATCTTTACAAAGTTGTTCCCCGTGGACAAAGGCATCACTGTACACAAATATACTCCCTTAAATTTTTTTTGATTTATTGATTTCTGAAACACATATATTAAAAATTTCCACTCTCATTGTAGATTGAACAATTTAATTTTTTTGTATTTCTAGTGTCTTTTGCTTTTTAAATAGTAAAGTTCTGCATTAAGTGAATAATGACTCTCATGTCTTGTTAGTAAAATTTGTGATTTAAAAAAAAAATTGGATATAGGCTTCTTTCCTTTAATGTTTTAAGAGTCTTTTTTGCAAATGGCATGTAGCTGGATTTTATTTTTTTTTTACTAACAAATCAAAACTCATTTTTAAAAAATGGGAACGTAAGTCATTCACATTTTTACTGTTAATATCTTTAAATATATTTGCTATCTGCATTTACGTTTTCTATTGAGATTGCTTTTTTTGCTGTTTCTTCTTCTTTTCTTGCCTTTTGTTAGCTCGATCAAGTTTTCTCTGTTCCATTTGTTTTCCTTGAAGGTTGGCAAAGTGATGTATTTAGTTTCAATTATTTAAATGTATAACTTAAAAGTTGAACTCTCACATTTATACATGTTTTCTTATCAGCATCTAGAATTAATTAATCTTTATTCCCACTAAGCAAGAAATTTATATTCTCTTTCTCCTTCTACCACACTTGCCTCTACATATGTAAGCAATTTTACCAAATTAGTTTTATTCCAGTTAAAGTAGTGCCGTTTGGTTTTCTCCTGACTCACCTTTTTTTCTCTATCCAGCATTATCTTTTTCCTTTGGATTACTTTTGTCATTATTTTGCTCAAGTGCATTTTTGAGCACTGCAATTGTTTTATTTTATTTTTAAAATATATTTTATTAATTATGCCATTACAGTTGTTATATTTCCCCCCTTCATTCCCCTCCACCCTGCACACCCCCTCCCCCACCATTCCCCCTTTAGTTCATGACCACGTGTCTCAAGTTCTTTAGATTCTATATTTCCCATACTATTCTTACCCTCCCCCTATCTATTTTCTATCTACTGTGTATGCTGCTTATTTTCTGTACCTTCTCCCCCCTTCTCCTTCTCCCACTCCCCTGTTGCTAACCCTCCAATGTGATCTTCATTTCTATGGTTCACTCCTGATCTAGCTGTCCTCTTAGTTTATTTTTGTTTTAGGTGTGATTGTTAATAAAGGTGAGTTTGCTGTCCTTTCACTGTTCATCTTTTTTGTCTTCTTTTTCTTAGGTAAGTTCCTTTAACATTTCATATAATAAGGGCTTGGAGATGATGAACTCCTTGAATTTGATCTTATCTGAGAAACACTTTATCTGCCCTTCCATTCTAAATGAAAGCTTTGCTGGATAGAGCAATCTTGGTTGTAGGTCTTTGGATTTCATGACTTGGAATACTTCTTTCCATCCCCTTGCTGCCTGCAAGGTCTCTTTTGAGAAATCTGCTGACAGTCTGATGGGAACTCCTTTGTAGGTGACTGTCCCCTTATCTCTTGCTGCTTCTAGGATTCTCTCCTTCATTTTAATCTTGGCTAATATAATGATGATGTGCCTTGGTGTGTTCCTTCTTGGGTCCACCTTCTTTGGGACTCTCTGAACTTCTTGGACTTCCTGGAAGTCTATTTCCTTTGCCAGATTGGGGAAGTTCTCCTTTATTATTTGTTCAAATAAGGTTTCCACTCATGGCTGTTCCTCTTCCCCTTCTGGTACCCATATAGTTCGGATGTTGGAATGTTTAAAGATGTCCTGAAGGTTCCTAAGCCTGTCCTCATTTTTTTTGAATTCTTGTTTCTTCATTCTTTTCTGTTTGGTCATTTTTTTTCCTCCTTCTGGTCCACTCCTTTGATTTGAGTCCCAGTTTCCTTTCCATAACTATTGGTTTCCTGTGTATTTCCCTTCATTTCAATTAGTTTAGCTTCCATATGTTCCTCTAATTTGTGACTAAAATCAACCAGTTCTGTGAGCATCCTGATCACCAGTGTTTTGAACTGTGCATCTGAAAGTTTGGCTATTTCTTCATCACTTAGATTTATCGGCTCTGGGGCTGTGAGTTCTTCTTGAGCCATGTTTTGATCTGTTCGTGCCTGTTACATATGAGGAGCAGAGCCTTAGGTGTTCACCAGGGTGGGGCCACCCAGGTCTCTGGGTTGTGACACTGATGTGGGGGCGGAGTCAGAGAGGGACAATGGTGGTTCTCTCCACCGCTGGGGACTGTGCGGTCTGTCTCAGTCTCACTGCTCGCTCCTTCACTGGTTTATCTGCACGCGAATATGTGACCACGGTCTGCCCTCAGTAGGTCTGCTTGCTTCTCCACACCTGGGATCCGCCCACGGCTGCTGGCGCACCTGGGTAGCATGCCCAGGTCGGTCCAGTGGATCTTTTTTTTTTTTAATTTTTATTTTATTGATTATGCCATTATAGTTGTTCTATTCCCCCCCTTCATTCCCCTCCACCCTATACCCCCCACCCCTACCATTCCTTACCTTTAGCTTATGACCATGTGTCTCGAGTTCTTTGGATTCTATATTTTCCATACTATTCTTGCCCTCTCCCTCTCTATTTTCTACCTACCGTCTATGCTATTTATTTTCTGTACCTTCTCCCCCCTTCTCCTCCCACTCCCCTGTTGCTAACCCTCCATGAAACTTTCATTTAGAATGGAAGGGCAGATAAAGTGCTTCTCAGATAAGATCAAATTCAAGGAGTTCATCATCACCAAGCCCTTATTATATGAAATGTTAAAGGGACTTATCTAAAAAAAAGAAGATAAAAAAAATATGAACAGTGAAAGGTCCGGTGGATCTTTCCTGCCAGACCCCGCACTGGTGCTGGCTCTGCCCCTCTTACCGGTTTGGCTGAAGGGTTTGTTCTTGTCAGACTTCCACGTAGTTCAATTTTCTGTGGTTTGGCTGCGTTTTTGTTGCTAAAACTTTGTTGTTTTTAAACTTGGTTGTGTGAGAAGGCGAAGTGCTTCCGCCTACACCTCCATCTTGGCGGAAGTCTGCAATTATTTTAGAGATAGGGTGTTTGTGGCAAAACTTCTGAGTCATGGTGTGTTAAAAAAATGTTTCAAATTTGCTCTCACACTTGATTGTTAGTTTGCGTTGGTATTGATTTGTAGGTTCAAAATCCTTTCCCTTCAGAATTTTGAGGATATTGCTCTGGTGTCTTTGGCACCAGGGTTGCTGATGAGAACTCTGATGCTACTCTGCTTCTCGTTCCTTTGTAGATTTTATTCACACGGAATTTTTCAGTATCATGTTCTTTACCTGTGGGTTTCTTACATTTCACCAGGACTTGTCAGCAGGCCCTTTCAATGCATAAGTTGTGCTTTCTTCAGCTCAGGGAAGTTTTATTTAAATTTTTTTCTTGATGATTTCTCCTTTCATTGTTTCTGTGTTTTCTTTCTGGAGCTTCTATTATGTGGATTTTAGAGCACATTGGTCAGTGTTCCACACTGCTTAAGTTCTTTCTGATATTTTACATTTACTATATCTTGTTTATTTCAAACTTTGGGAGATTTATCTTTATCTTTTGGATTACTAATTTGATTTTCAGTTGTACAGTTTCTATAGATTATTCATTCATTCAATAAGTATTTAATGAGCTCCTACTATGTGCCAGGCGTTATTTTAAATGGTGACATTCAGTGGTGAATGAAGTCCTCTCACTGGCTTTTTATTTTCCAATGATTCTTACTCTCTGAATGCCCTTGTGTGTAGGCTGTAGGGGAAACGGAGTCAGTCTGGCTTCCTCACCCAGATGCCCAGGCAACTACTAAGCAATATTTCCATAACCTTGAGAATGGGCACACATACGCAGAGTCACGCTTCATTATATCGTATCTTGGCACCTTGCCGGCCCTGTGTGCATTCAGTATAGAAAGTCCCACCTTAAAATAAAGACATGTCAGGAATCCCCATGGCTCTGCAAATTTTCTTGCGTCTGCCTGAATCCCATGTTAACCTGCCTGGCCTTAGGCAAAATATTTTCAAACATCTCTTTTTGAGATGTTTCAAACTCTTTTTTTTTGGTCTAAGGTGAACATTTTATTCTGAACTGTTTTTCTTCCAGGTCAGGTCTTTTTGTTCCTGTTTGTCTATGTGACTCTCATGCTGTTGTTTTTAATGTCAGACGATCCTTTTACAAGTGAAGAACCAGGTTGGTTATTATAGGTAAGTAGCATGGGTCTTATCTGCTTTGTGTGGGTGTGCTGACAGACAGCTCTCCTGAATGCAAGATTGAAGTTCTTTGTAGGTGGGTGGGGAATGTCCCCAGGAAGCATTTAGGTAAAGATGAATGGGTATAGAGTAGGTAGGTGGGTAGAACATTTCATACCAGTTAGAATTCTTGATTATAAATAACAGAAACTGGGTCTGGCTAATTTATGCAGAAAAATAACTTATTAGCAGGCTATTGGGTGGTTCACAGAATTGACCAGAAGGCTGAAAACCAGGCTTGGAAAACCAGCAGGAGCCAAGGGGGGCAGTGCCAAGGATACTCTGCAGAAGCAGTTTGATTAGGTCGTTGCTTAGTCTTTGTGGGTGTCCCTCCAGATTCAGGTCCTGGGTGGAACAGCCAGCACTGCAGTTGCCAAGCCAGGAAGCAGGGTTATCCGCCAGGCACCCACATGTGGCAGGCAGAAGAAATGGCCCCAAAGAACTTCTATTTCAAGTTTATGACAGTTGTATTTTTTTCCCTGTTTATCAGTGCTATGTGGATTTCTTCTTTAAGAACAACACTTTCTTCCTGTTGGTATAAGAAAATCTGAGTGGAAGGGGGACATGGTCCTATTACTTAGACTATTTGGAGTATTATTTGGACAGAATCCAAAGGACTAAAAACTACCCTGAAGAGTAGGCCATGCGAGCCACGGTCTGAACGCAGGCTAATGGTGGGTTAACGCAGGGGCCGCCCCGGAGACGGCAGATGGAACCTCTGCGTGGGAGGATCCAGGGAAGTGCCTGGATCAGCGAAAATCCCTGAACAGGGAAAGAGAAAACAGAACTGGGTTCCAGCCTCGATTTTGCCTTTTGCCAACTATGTAACTTGAGGCAGGGCTAGCCGCTGTGAACTGCAACTTCTTTACTTGTAAAATGGGGGTAACATCTATCAGGAGGGTTCCTGCAAGGATTAAATGAATTAATAGTGGTAAAATGCTTACCGTAGGCTTGGCACACCATAATATTGGGTATTTACTGAGTGGCATTTACTTGGACTGATCTTGTTTAATCCTGATTATTAAGTCTATTACACAGATCCAGAAACCAAGGTAGAGAGAATTTAAGTCAGCTGCTTAAGGCTGCGATCATTAAGTGGCAGAGTAAGGACTCAAACCTGAGTCATCTGGCTCTGTCATCTTTGCACGCACACAATGTTACAGATTAACCCATAGATGAGGGCTATGGAACTGACTGCTCTTTTCTGGTTTTTAAATGTTTCTGTGCAATTTTGGGGTAGGGGGACAGATTCATTTTAGGAACTGGGAAGAAATCAAGTCAGAAAGAGAGAAGTGGCCCCAGTTATAGTCAAGCTGGAGCTAGCTGGTCATTGCAGGCTATTGTTTAGTATGTGTGTTGGCTTGTTTGCTTTTATTGTGTATTATTTTATGGAGGCAAAGTTTATGTACCAGTAACATACACATACCTTAAGTGTACAGCTCAATGAATTTCACACATGTTCGCACCTGTGTAATCACTATCCAGCTCAACATACAGAAAGTTTCCCTCCCCCTAGAAGGCTCCCTTGTGCCCCTTCGCCCAGACTAACATCTGCTGCACTCACTTCTATCATCATAGCTGAGTTTAGTCTGTTTTGGACTTCATATAAATGGAACATACAGTTTGTGCTCTTTCATGCCTGGTTTCTTCTACTTTGTTCTTTATTTTGATAAAGACCCAGATTCTTTACAGGCCATGAATCTGTGAGCAGATGACCACACTCTGAGCAGACAGCTATGATCCCCAAGTGTGGCCCCCAAGGGCTCTGTCCACAAGTACCAGTTGCTGTGACCTGGGTCCCGCTGCAGGGGACGGGAAAGAGGAGGACAAACCTGCTTGGGCAGGGCTGCCATGCACTCGACACCCTGTGGAGGCTCTCAGGACTCGGGGGTAAACATTACTGGTGCGCTAGAGCTATGTTCTGGGTGGCCTTCTCTTGTACAGCTGTTCTCATTCCAGTAATTTCCATGGGCTGCCTAGAAATGCTGGACATACTGGCTTGTGGATTCAGTGGTCTTGGCTGTTGACATGCATATAGGCCTTTCTTACATCACTTTGCATGTACTCAAGAGAGTACATTCTATTTCTGCAGTTCCCCAGGAATCAGGTTTTAAGACGGGACAACTGCCTAACTTCGCTGAGGGCAGCACGTTCTCTGTTCTTTTGCAGCTGTAGTGCGGCAGAAAGCGCTGAATGGTTCTCCACACTCGGGTGCTGCAAAGTCCACACCTCACTCCAGCCTCTGGGAGCTCATCTTCCCAGAACAGAGGCATCTCTCTCCTCCCTGTGAAACATTGCCTTCCAACTCCTCCCTTTTTAGGATAATTCCAGCTTCTTTTCTGAAAGAGCTAAGAATTCTCAAAAAGTCCTGGTTGGGGTTTTTTCCAGAATAGCTTTTGAAACACAAATAAGCTCGTAAACCTCTTATACCTGAGCAGAAGAGAGTCCTGTGACTTAGAACAAAAAACCGTTTTCCTTTTAGAGAGAGGTAAAAAGGAGAAAAATTATCCTTTCCTTCTATCAAATAAGTCTCCGGTAGAAATAGAAATAGGAACAGGGCATAAATGACTTTGTCAATCATCGGTCCTGTCCCACGACGTTCTGTGTCTCCCTCTGCAACTTGGTCAGCGGGGAAACCTGGCAAAGTCACACCGCAGTGGTGACAGCCTCGGTTTCGACTACAGAATGGAGCTGATGCCAACTGTACAAGGACATTGTCATCAGTAAATTAGGTATTTGCAAAATTTGATAGGGTTCTAATAAGTGTAATTTCTTTTTCCTTTTTTTTTTTTCTACAGGAGGAATCACCTGCTTGTATGAAGTCCGAGTGTCTGGGTTGGGGGCCCAGATTACAGGGCTCTGAGCACAGAGAAGGGATGCATTTTGCCAGAGAGGTGGGAAGTGGGCTGGCGCCCACACGCCCACACAGACTTTTCTTCCCTTCTCTTTACAGTCCCAAGCTGGGGAGCGGTGCGACTTAGAAGACACTGGGCGGTTCTTCCATGCTCTCAACGGTAGTGCCCAAACCTGACTGAACTTACCTAAGAAAAAGAAGACAAAAAATGAACAGTGAAAGGACAGCAAACTCACAGTTATTAACAACCACATCTAAAACAAAAGGACAGCTAGATCAGGAGCAGAACCATAGAAATGAAGATCCCATGGAGGGTTAGCAACAGGGGAGTGGAAGAAGGAGAAGGGGGGAGAAGGTACAGAAAATAAGTAGCATAGACGGTAGGTAGAAAATAGAAGGGGGAGGGCAAGAATAGTATGGGAAATATAGAATCTAAAGAACTTGAGACACGTGGACATGAACTAAAGGGGGGATAGTGGGGGAGGGGGTGTGCAGGGTGGAGGGGAATGAAGGGGGTAATATAACAACTGTAATGGCATAATTAATAAAATATATTTTAAAAAAATTAAAAAAAGAAAAAGAAAAAAAAAGAATTACACTGAAAGTTTAAAAACCCTTCTACCCTAGCCCCTTTCTACTACCCTGGCTAAGAATCTGAGTCAGTAGGGATGGGGGAGATGAAAGTATTTAATTAAAAAAAAATCTTCAGGTGAGTCTGATGAGCAGTATGTTTAGAGACTGATGCTCACAGACATAGTTCAGAGCTACACTGAGATGCCGAATGTGGTTTCTGGGGAAGGACCTGGTGGTGCCACTCTTGCTGCTCAGGGTGGTTGCTGCCTGTATAACAGTTTGCTGCAAAACATGCTGAATGCTATTGTGGCCTCTTTCCTGCAAAAGTAAAAATCCCCTTCAGATTTCTCCCTGTTAGCAAAAACTGGTACTAATTCAGGTCTTTCGTAAAAGCAGGGTGGTGTAATGTGAACTCTTGAACAGCAGAGTCAGCTATGATTTCCTGTAGGCCCTCGTTGTTTGCTGGGCAGTTTTCACCCAGTCATTCCCCACCTCTTGGCACTATGTATTTCATCCCGATAAGAGTGAGAACAAGACTAGTTGCTTGAGCTAGTTTCAAAATGACTCAACTAGAAATCTAGGAGATTCTGATGTATATTCGGAAAATACCTAGGTGTATCATATGTGTTGTTTAGATACCTTATTGGGGACCATCCTCATAGATCATTTTTTGCAAACAATCTGGAGCTTGGAGAGTGTCTTTCCCATGAATATTTTTGAGAACAGTTGAATATTGCTCATCTGTGCTGTTTTGTATATGTGTTGCATTTGTTTTTATTTTTATTTATTTTTTGAGGGTTTGAATAATGAAGTCATAGTGGAGGAAAACTGGCTTACTGCTGTTAAGACATTTGATTTCTGGTTTATTTTTTGCTATCATGTATAGTAAGCAAATAAAATTTAACAATTAAGTTTTTTTGGGTTCTAAGTGCAACAGGTTTATACATTTTCAAAATGAACCGAGCCTTTACATGAAAGTGAATAAATGACTGTAAGTTTTTATATCCTGTCATTTCCTCCATCTTTCCCCTCTACAAACACTTCCACTAGGTTATTTTGAGGCACTTGAAGTAAATTTCAGAAGTTATATCATTTCTGTTGTAAATATTTCAGTATGGACTCTTGCCTTGGCTGGGTGTCTCAGTGGTTGGAGCATCATCTGTGCACCAAAAGTTTGCAGGTTTGATTCCTGGTCAGGGCGCACATGGGAGGCAAGCAATAGATGTTTCTCTCTCACTTCAATGTTTCTCTCTCTCTCTTTCTTCCTCAAGAAGAGAGAGAGAGAGAGAGAGAGAGAAACATCTCCCTTCCTCTCCCTTCTACTCTCTGTAACATCAATAAAACATATCTGTGGGTGAATGGTAAGGGTAAAAAAAGATTCTGAAAAAGACTCTTAAAAAACATAAGCATGTATTTGGATTCAGCAACTCTAGCAAAATAAAGAAGTATAGTCTCAAAAATAGAAAAGACAAGAAAGAACCATAACCACAATACTAAAAATTTTTACAAAGATTCCTTAATATCATTAAATATCCAGGCAGGTTAAATTTCCCCCATCACTTCTGAATTTTGCAGATTAGTTCCCTGTGTTGTTAACAAGATTTTCCTGCCCCCTTGTACTTCCTATTAGCTGAGTATTAGATCTGGAGGTTTAATCTGATTTGGTTTGGTATTTTGCCAAGAACACTTCATAGGTGGCATCTACAATCCCATAGCGAGGCAGATGATTTAGCAGGCACTAATTATCACTGCTGAAAGATTTTCTTGTTCATTTTTGACTGCCCCCAACCCACCCATCGAGCTCCTCCCAGACACACCTCACTCAAACCGGCTCCTTTGTACTTTTTTAACTGATTAGAAAATGGTTACTTTGTTGTAAGCTTATTTCAAAGACACAATTTCCTTGGAAAATAATCAGAAGGTTCCATTAATCTTCAGCATAGGTGAATGAAATTTTTCTCAGTCCACATCTATGGCGCCATTGTTGGTCATCTATTCAAACGCCATCCCTCCCACCCTTATAATGTGCGGGCATAGTCCACCTCTCACTTGAGAGGCTGACTAGCTCTTTACTTTTCAAAGCCTGACTGGTTTCTTGGAAATGCTTTTCCTGTTATTGAGGATATTCTTAGCTATTGACCTTTAGATGATGTGTGGGGCTATTATTTGGTGCCATCGTGGCCATCCTGTGAGCATGTGGACAAGCTGGAGGATTAACATCAATGTGCCAGGTGATGGGGTGGTGGGCTGAAAAAGAGGGAAGAGCCCAGGTCTTGGGTAAGTCGCTGAGCCATTGAAATAGCCAACCCTGCAAATGCCAAACCTCCAGACTTATTATGTGAGATTACAAACTTAATCTACTGTTAGTCAAACATATGAAACTATAAACAACTTAACCAAACTTAATCTACTGTTAGTCAAACATATGAAGCTATAAACAAGTTAACCAAACTTAATCTACTGTTAGTCAAACATACGAAGCTATAAACAACCAATGTACAAGGTACATTTAAATACATTTCTTTGATAGTTCTGCTTACTATATTTAAAGTTTTGATGTAGAGGAAAAAACTATAGACCTTGACCTTGAGTTTCCTATAAAATCAGTCTTTCTTATCCACTCTAATAGAGCTAAAGCGATACCGATAGCACACAATATTGAATCATCGAAATTAAATTATGATGGTTTTCTTTTAAAAATATCAGCTTTTGATAAGATATAAGTTGAAAAGGCATACAGCAACTTTAAATTGGAAATGGAAGCCTATGGACTTCTATGCTGGTGATAAGAACTGGAGTAAAAATATTTTCCAAGGACCATTCTCAAAGGGCATAACTAAGAGTTGACTTTGAGTGTTGGCAGCAAGGGGAAACTTTTCTCCTATTACATTATGCTGGACTTAACATTCTTATTAAGTAGTGGAATTGGAATTTATGAATCTTGTCCTTTGCAGCAAAATAATTCCCAAGTTTTAAACTGAATGCATAAGATTAATAGGCAGAGTGATGAGGATTTAGTTAAAAAATAGTATGATTTTAAGAAGCGGCTATAGAACTGAAAAAGTGAAGGATTGCTGGTGGTCCATGCTGTACTGGTTCCTCCTTTTTAAAAAAGTTGAGATATAATTGACATTATAACGTTATGCTTCCTGCTTCTTGTTATTTTGCATTCCCAGACTATGTTGTTTGGAAGTGAACCTTCATTGTGTTTTGTTTTGTTTTGTTTTGTATGGTTTGGTCAGTGGATTGCACCTTTGTCCTTGCAGGCAAGGTGATGGCAGCGGTTCCAGGAAGCCCTCAGTGACAAACTCTCTTTGTGTTGTGTGAGGAAACCGTGGCTCATAGATGAATGACATCAGGCTTCCCACCCTGACCTCTGGATCTTTCAATGTACAGAGACTCATTGTTAATGACCTGCACTGAACAGCTGCTAGCTCTTGCTAGCTTCATTCTCTGTGAACATGGTGATCATAAACCCCAGATTCAAAAAAATGACCTGTCCTGTTTCAATCCATGTGTCAGGCCATCTGGCCTGGTGTCTGATTAGGAAAATACGATCACCTTAATTATGGCACAACTCCTTGCAACTTCTCTGCCACTTGGAGGTTTTCCCCACACGTGTCCTTGTTTAGGGTATCTCTGCAGGTGATATCCCTTCTTCTTTGCCCAGTAAGCAAAATTCCCCGTGTGTCTTCAGTGGAAATACCCTCTTTTCAGAGATCCTGCCTAGAAGGGAGTTCAACAGAGTTAATACTAAAATTAGACAAGGTAAGGCAGGACCCAATCTCCCTATGAAAAGCAACCTGATCAAATTCTGAGGGAGTTAAATGTCTATTACTACAATAAAAGTTCAAAGCTTTTAAAAATACGTAAGGTGATTCATTTGAGCTGGTGAACATAAAACTTACCTTGGAAGAGTCACTGAAGGGAAAGGCAGGGTAAGAATTTGGCTCTGGAGATCAGATTAGAGAAAAGAACAACCTTCAAGCCCACTTGGGGCAGAATTGCTGTCAATAGGATGTAAGTCAGGCGGTGGGCTCACCATCAACTCTGACGCCACGGCTTGGAGAACATGCTAAAATCTCTGTTATCTTCTAGGTCCTTAATGCAGTGAGGCTGATAAACCAAGAGTGCTTAGGAGATACTTGCTGACCTACGATGACAAATAACTTTGACTTCATTTATTGTGTTTGCCAGGCCAGGTACACTCACTGTTACAATCTTTCTGGTTCAGAAGGTCAAAGAATACCTGAAAGGCCATGAAGAACGTTTGTATTTGAAAACAGTTTTCAGGGAAGTAGAGCTTTGATTTTCCAGATTTTTTTTTACCTGACCATGAAGCAAGAATATTACAAATAAAATTTAGTAGAGAACAGGCGATCCTTAGGTGTAAGGAGATTGGTAATGGCTTGGAACAGCTGAATAAATAACATATATATATTTATTTGGCTCCCTGGGCCTTTACCTAAGCCTTTTATAACTACCGGGTGTTTTATAGACACATTTTTCTATGAAGTCATCAAACCATAAACGGTGAATCTTGCCTGACTTTCACGTCTTACAAAAAAAAAAGAGAGAAGAGAAGCACCACCATTTTCCTAATGGAAATGTCGTTAGCCTCTGTCCTTGGAAGCACAGGGCCAAGGGTGTTGGGGCAGGTCTAGGGCTGTGAACTGTTACGCAGTCTGCTCTACTTGCAGCCCATGCTGGCTGTGGGCTCCGAGTCGGACTGTTTGCACATGGGTAGCCCTGGTGAGAGAAGTGTCCCCACCCACTGCGCCC